CCATCCACCTTCCACACATCCACTCATCCATCCATCTACCCACCCATACCCATCATCCATCCATCCACCTTCCATACATCCACTCATCCATCCCTCTACCCACCCACCCAACCATCCATTCACATTCCAGCCAGCCAGCCATCCACACCCCCATCTTCCCACCTACTTTCCAGTCAGCCATCCACCCACTCGTCTGCCCATCTATCCATTATCTATCCACCCACCTTCCATCCATCTATCCACCCACCTTCCATCCATCTACCCATCCATCCACCCATCCACCTTCCCCAACCACCCACCCATCCAACAGGTACTTAGTGAGCACACTACAGATGCCTGTAACAGACAGAAGGAATATGGGATGAACATGATCTATGATTAAGTGAACGAACCAGCAGAATAAGTCAACCCAGGCACAAAGTCTGTGGGTGAGCCTCAAAGAAGCTGCCATTCTTTGACAAATTTGTAGACAGCTGGTTGTGGCTTCTTTACACACTGGACTCTCCTCTGTCTCTCACATTCCGCATTCACTCCACCAGGAAATCCTGTTGATCTACCTTCACACATGTCCAGAGCCCCACCACTTTTCCTCATCTCCACTGCTCCCAACTTGGTCGAAGTCATTCTCATCCCTCACCTGGATGACAGATCTCCAGGCTCCAGGCTCCGCCCTCACCCCCTTGCAGTCTATACTCAACACATTAGCCAAAGAGATCCTGTTAAATTTTGAAATATAAGTTAGGAAATGTCATTCCTTTGCTCAATATCTTGCAATGGCTTCTATTTCATTCTGAGAAAAAGCCAAAGTCCTTCCTGAGGCCTGCAAGGTGCTGTGACCTCTGATCTCACCTTCTTCTCTTCTACCACTCACTTGTGTCATTCTGGCCATGCTGGCTACTTGCTACTCTCCTACACACCAGGCTCTCTCTTGCTTTAGGGCCTTGGCCTCCTGTGACGACACTCTATAACAGGACAATCAGCACCTGCCCGAAGTGCCCCGATCCCTCACCCTTTTCTACCTTTCTTCTTTCCAAAGCACTTATCACCTCTGACCTACTGTGCAATTTCCTTATTTATTACACAGAATTCTTAGTGTTCACTGTCCATCTCCTCCCACTCAACATGAGCTGAAGGAAAGCAGGGACCGTTGTCTGTGTTGTTCACTGATGTCTCCCCGGCACCTGGAACAGGGCTTGGCACACAGTAGGTCTCAATAAACATTTGCTGAGTGAATGAATTGGTCCTGAGTTATTAAGTCAGTGCCCCATTACACCCTTGCTTTGAATTAGCTAAGCCTCAAGGTAGAAGAACTAATCCAAGAATGAGAGACCTTAGAAAATTAAACTTTTATTATTCTCACTGAGACTCCTCAAGGGTGTGATAGCAAATAATGTAGCAAGGACTCTCTCAGGGGAAGATAAGCATTAAACACACAATCATAATTAGGATGAGCACAGGGTGCCACGAGAGCGATGACAAGGGTTCAGGCCTGGCCAGCATTTCTAAAGATAAGATTTTAAGCTGAGCCCTGCCAGAAAAGTAGATTAACCTGTGAAGGAAACATCATGTGATCCAACACTGAGACTGGAGAGAAGGTGGAATATTTGAGGAAAAGAAGACTGAAAACAAAGAGAAGTCACTCAAAATATGGCCAGAAAGGTAGGCACGGATCTGATTACATACGCAAGGCTGAGGGGCTCTCATCAAGTATTTTGGATGGGAGCTGCAAAGGGTTTTAACGAAGAGTGAGGTGTGATAAAGTCTGCATGTTTTTAAAACAATTGCTCTGGCTACAGAGTGGAGACTGGATTGGAAAGGGTCAGGAATGAATATAGGGCTATCACTTAGCACTCTGCTATGACAAACGAGATGAGATGGTGGCCCAGACACGTGGAGAGGGAAGGATATGGCCAATTCTGACAAAGGCTTAGAGGATAAAATTAATAGGACCCGGACTCACTGGAGGAGTGAGGGCAGAGATGTCTGATTTGGGTGACAAGACCCTGTCCTGCATTAAGGGAGGAGCAGGTGTGAAACAAGGAGACACAGGGAGTAAAGGCTCAGCTCTAGACCCATGAAGTGACCTGATCTCACCTCTCAGCGTGGAGCTCAGCATACAACCAACAACTGGATGGAGAAGGAAATGAGGGGTGAGGCCTTTTCTATGCCTCTCTGCAAACTCAGCAGCTCCTCTCTGTCTTCTCTCAGAGACCAACACCTCCCCCTCCCATGAGCTATCTGCCTGGGTGAGAGAAGCTGACCAAAGCAACCTCATTCCTGGAACCACTGGTTCTGTTCATTTCTCATGCCCACGTCAGCATCCCCCAAATACATGCCACTCGCGATACCAGGAAGTTAATCCTCTCCCTCTCATGCTTCCTTCTCTTTGGGGAGGTAAACTGTATCCAAAAAGGGAGCAGACGAACCTGAAATCCAACGTGACGAAGTCAATGCTGGACCCAGAAGCACCAGGCAAAGAGCACGGGAGCTCTGACTGGGTTCTGAGAGGGAGAGCAAGGGACTCGACACTGAGAGCCCTGCTCCAACATCAGGAGCACCTCCCGAAACCCTGAAGGCCTGCAGCAAACCGCACCGGGCTCTCAGAGGAACCGCTAAGTGGTGAGCACCAAAGACAGCTTTTGTCCCAGAAAATGCATTCTCCACAGAAGGTCTTCAAGATCCCAACATGTCCCGAATCACGGCCTTGACGCATGCCCCATTTGCTTCCCTCAGCAAGTCTCCAGAAAGGGGAGTGTGATGACAACATAGCTCCCTCCCTCACGGGCCGACACCCAGCAGAGGAGTACCAACCTGAATACACGATTTCTGTCTGCCAGTAATTGAAAGCAGCAATCCAGGCCTCGAAGTGATGGGCCTGCCATGTGGCGACATCCTGCAGTCCGGGCCCCGCCTCGTTCACGCTTATGAGGTGGAGCTGCCCTTTGGAGTCGCTGCTAATGATTTTCAAGGGCTGGTCACTGGCTCTAGACACGGAGAACAAACAGAGAAACTGGCTGAACTTTATTCATTGACCCAAACTCATCACCCTCTTCTGTTCTCAATTGGTACCATTTTATGCCCCTAAGACATGTCATGGGAGAGGTTCTCCATGGACCTGGTACGTGGACACGCCTCTTAAGAGGCTTGCTTGGGCATCTGGCAGAGACCAAAGCTACCACTTAGCTTATCAAAATAAACAAGGAGCTGACACTCCTCTTGATGAAAGCACTATCCCTTTTCATCCAAAATGCTGGGATTCTCGGGGCCGGCCCGGTGGCACAGCAGTTAAGTTTGCATGTTCTGCTTCGGTGGCCCAGCGTTCGCCAGTTTGGATCTTGGGCGCGGACCTACTCACCACTCATCAAGACATGCTGAGGCAGCATCCCACATAAAAGAACTAGAAGGACCTACAACTAGGATATACAACTATGTACTGGGGGCTTTGGGGAAAAAAGAAAGAAAAAAAAGAGGAAGATTGGCAATAGATGTTAGCTCAGGGCCACTCTTCCTCAAAAAAATAAAATAAAAAATAAAAGGCTGGGATAATTTTCTTTTTTGATTAGGACTGCTTATGACATTCCCAGGTTTGGGAACCACAAGCAAGCCAACAGAGGTGGCTTTAACTCTCGCATGCATGAAAACAGGAATGGATCCTCACAGGAAAGACTCAGGTCCCTCAGCAATGCTGACCCTTACCTTCCAGTTTTCCCAGTGGACCAATCGAGGGACAAAGCCAGACACTCCTTCTCGAGGACGAAGCTAGAAAGTGGCTGTAGTGTGTAAGTGTTCTACTGGAAAGAAAGCAACGCAATCTGAGGGAAACAGCCCAGAGCCCTGAGAAGATTACTCCTCCAGTTCAGGTATGCCACCGTTCCCTCATCTACTCCTGGGGGAACAAAGTGTCTCAGTCACCCATTCATAGCAGAACCTGAAGACACCAGAAAACTGGCCCCTGCCCTCCAGGAGCTCACACCCCTGTGGGAGGGCTTTCCCACACAGGTGACCTTGGAGGAAGCAGGTCTCTCCGCTTTTCAAACCCCCTCGCACTGTCCATGCACTCCTAGACACCACCAGAGCACCCATGCAGGCTCCGGGAAGCACGTCTGGTAGAGACTCTCCCCCCAACCCAGGCCTCCAAGGATGCTGGCATATTCTGAATCCAGAGACGGAGACAACGGGAACTTTCCTCTGGTTTCCCTTTCATAAGCCACAACTAGCCATCAAAATGCTGTTTCTCTTCTCTAAGATCTATGTAAGGTTTATTACCTAAACAATCTGGACAGTGCTTAACTCTGTCAACAGGCTCCCAGCAGGCTGCTTCATCAGGGTCCTCTCTTGGGTGTATGTGCTCCTGCCCTGAACTCTGATTTATGGGCCCACAGACTTCCTCAGATATTTCCTCCCTCATTCTTAAGACAGGGCTGCTTCTCTCAGCTGGCATAAAGCAAGGCCCTTTCTGCACAAGCCCTCAGTTGCCATGAATCCAGTGCCAGCTGGACCTCTGCTCCAGTCTCATTCACAGCACCCACATTTGTGTGTCCCTCCCACAGTCATGTCCTGTGGGCTGTTCACTGCACCCCACTCACTACGTGACTTCTGTTACCTCCCTCCCCTAATGCTCACACGCAGTCATTCTGGAAATGCATAGTACAGGATTGCTGTCAAACTGTTAGAAAAATTCACACAGGAATCACATGATTTCCTAACTATCAGTGAGAAATGCAGTAGTCCCCCCCTTATCTGTGGTTTGTTAACCACGGCCAACGATGATCCAAAAATATTAAGTGGAAAATTCCAGAAGTAAACAATTCACAAGTTTTAAATTGTACACCATTCTGAGCAGCGTGAAATCTCGTGCTGTCCCGCTTCGTCCCACCCGTTTGTCCAGCAGATCCACACTGTATACACTACCTGCTCATTAGTCACTTAGTAGCTGACTCGGTTAACAGATCGACTGTCATGGTATCACAGTGCTTGTGTTCAAATAGCCCTTATTTCACTTAATAATGGCCCAAAGTGCAAAGTAGCAATGCTGGCAATTTGGATATGCCAAAGAGAAGCTGTAAAGTGCTTCCTTTAAATGAAAAGGTGAAAGTTCTCGACTTAATAAGGAAAGAAAAAAAATCATATGCTGAGGTTGCTAAGATCTATGTTAACTTTAGTTACAGTATATTGTCAGACTTGTTCTATTTTATTATTAGTTACTATCGTTAATCTCTTACTGTGCCTAATTTTTAAATTAAACTTTACTGTAGGTATGTATATATAGGAAAAAACATAGTACACATAGGGTTCAGTACTATCTGCAGTTTCAGGCATCCACTGGGGGTCTTGGAACGTATCCTTTCGGGTAAGGGGGGGATGACTGTACCATTTTCACATAGGAAATTCATTGCTATTCTTAGCCCCAGCATCATCAACCCAAGAATGCTGGTCCAGGCTTTCCTTATGGAAGAACTTTCAAATCCATTGACAGGTGAATGAACAGCCTGTCACTTCAGCCCTTCTACTGGTCACGCATAAGGTGACCTCCTCTCGGAGTCAGATGCAGATCTCAATAATTTAAAATAGACTACATACTACCTTGGAAGGCTTTACGATAAAGTTCACCATTGAACAGAAACTATGTTATAAAAATGTTTGTATTGGCACAGCCTCCCTCCCAAACCCTCTTGATTCAGCTTCCTTCCATCCCCCACAAAGCCTGGCCCCAGTCACTGACCTCAGATCCCACCAAGCGGAGCAGCTCTATGGATCCACCAGCATCTGCCACACCCAAGAGGGCACAGCCAGCCACCGGGATGTGGCACCTGAGAAAACAATTCACACGCCAGTCAGAACATGGGATATACCCAGAGTACAAGAGAGCATTACGCACCCCAGTAATTGACTATTTAAATTCCAGCTCCAAAACCAGGTTGGAACCTACAATTCTGCTCCAACGAGATTCCCCAGCTTATGCAGCAAGAAACCAGCACCACTTCCCAGACTGATACTAACTCCAGGGCTCAGAAACTGACAAAGGAAACAAGCCCCAAGTCTACAGCCGCCTCCAAGTGCCCACAGGTTAGCAGGACAGTAAAGAAATGCATCCAAAGTGCAGACATTTCTCCATCTTGTTGAATGCTGCCAGGCATCAGGCTCACCTGATTAAGTGAATAGATATTCATGACAAATTCCAGACAAGTGGATTGTTACCGTCATACCATTTCATGTCCAGGACTGCAGAAGTATCTCCTCTTTGGATCTCAACCAAGGGGCAAGCAGAGCCGTCCTCATTGAAACTATACAGGCAGAGACGTCCTACACGGATGTGAGGCTTGTCTACGTCCACTCCACTCTACAAAAAATGCAGATGTGTTCTCTGATTACCCTAACAGATACTGAGAAACCCAAGGGACGGGAAAAGGGGTCGAGGGAAAGAAAAGGTTTGCCGAGAGTCTGGAACTCTGCCTGGAAGCAGCACCCCTGACTGTCTCTTCTCTTGTATGGGATTAACGAGCAGGAAGATGAGCTCTGCTGGACCCTGCACAGAATGCTCCTTCTCAACAGCTAACAGGGACCAGCTATGGTGAGGGTCACCACAGGACCAGTTTCCCTGGACAGTCCTGGCTTTGGCCTGCTGCTCCAGAGCCAGTTCACATTCTTAAAGGTGTCCTGGTTGGGATCTGCGCAGAAGCCTTCAAGTGATTAGGTACGGCTCCTAGAAAATCCCGTTTTCTCTTTAGACTTCAACCATAAGCTCGAGCCTCACCGGCACACACACAACACGCTGCTTTCAAGATGCCCCTGTTTCTAGCCTATGTTCTGGCCACAAGGCCAAGGTCGCATCTCCATCCCCGGTGCGAGTCCACAGGAGACTTTCCTCTTTCAGCCCCTCCCCTTCCCGCGGTGCAGACCAGAGAGCCAGGTCCCAACACCCGTGGTCGGCTCTGCCTCTCTGGAGCCTGTTCTCGCCCTTCCTGAGACCCTTCTGAGAGCGGAGTTTGAAGTGGGGCCTTAGCTTCCGGGGAATGCAGACCCAGGACCCAGGGTGGAGACCGCCCGAGGCCAGGCGGGCTCCGCGCACCTTGCCCTCCGCGTCGGCGGGCTGGTCCTCCGGCTTCCGCAGCTGGTAGGAGCCGCAGGCCAGCAGATGCCTGCAGCCTTCCAGCGGGCACCACTCCACCGAGTCCGCCGTGTACTCCGTGTCCACCGCCTGCAGCAGCCGGACGCGACTGCCCGTCGCCCAGCAGTCGAAGGACCCGGTGGCGACGGGAGTGGAGGAGACCGGGCGGGGGAGGCGGCGTGACGAGGCCAGGATGGGAGGCGGCGTGGGGAGGGGGTGAAAGCGGTCTCCGGGTTCGGGGCCGGGGGAGAGCGGGGTCGCGGGGGCGGAGTCCGGGTGAAAGCGGTCTCCGGGTTCGGGGCCGGGGGAGAGCGGGGTCGCGGGGGCGGGGTCCGGGTGAGAGCGGGTTCGCGGGGTCAGGGTCGGGGTGAGAGCGGGGTCGGCGGGGCCGGGGCGACAGGTGAGAGGGGGGTCGCGGGGTCGGGCCCGGGACGGGGGTGAGAGCGGGGTTGAGGCTGGGGGCCCGGGACCTGAGCGGCGAGCGGAAAGCTCAACCTAGGGCTGGCACTTCTTCCACTTCCGCAGTCTCTTCCCCCTCCGACTCCTTCCGGGGCCGGGCTCCCGCGCCCCCTGCCGGCCGGCGGACCCCACGTGCCAGGGCGCACCCCCGGCCCTGGCCCCGAGACTCGGGGCTTGGAGGGGACAGCGCGAGTCCCACACGGAATCAGAGTCCCGCGGGCAATCGCGGGAGAGCTGGGCCCTGAAGGGCGAGCAACGAGGAGGAAAGCAGGACATGGAAGTGGGCGTATGCAGAGAGGCTAGACGTTCAGGGAGCAGAGCCCACGATACACCCAAAGGCCTTGGGCCTTGGCTGCCCTCCCTGTCCCTCTTCATGTCCACTCTAGGGGGCTGCCCATTGGGCAAGAAGTGGGGCACGTCGGTGGGTACAAAGACCTGCCTGCCAGGACAGCGCAGCAAGGAGACAGGGCCAGCTGCAGGGCCCATGGGCAGGGTGGTGGGCAGGAAGGTGGACAGAAGGCAGCAAGAGCAGGCATCTGGGCCCCGAGAGGCAGGATCCGGTCTGCTAGTTAGATTTAGGATGTAAGGGAGAAGACCCAGTACAGCCACGATCTGATCTGGGAAACTGAGTAGGTGCTGAAACCATTTAAAAAGATTAGTGTGGTCTACAGGACAGGTTTGAGGTAGGCAAGTTTTGGACATTTTGTTATGCATTGAATCGTGTCCCGCCAAAAAAGATATGTTGAAGTCGTATCCCACAGTACCTCAGAATGTGACCTTTGGAAATGGTCTTTATGGAAATAATCCAGTTAAAATGAGGTCATTAGGGTGGGCCCTAATCCAACAGGAGTGTGTCCTTATGAAGGGAAGATTTGGTCTGTCAGGGACAAACATCCATAGAGGGAAGACAATGTGAAAACGGAGGATTGGTTTGAAGCATCTGCAAGGAAAGGCTGCCGGAAGTCAGGAGGCCTGGAACACACCTTTCCCTAGCACCTTCAGTAGCAGCATGGCCCTGCCAACACCCTGATTTGCCTCCAGAACTGAGACAATATGTTCTGTTGTTTGAAACTACCCAGTTTGTGATACTTTGTTATGGCAGCTCCAGGAAACTGGACATGTTGAGATTGTAATCCTCACGGATACCTGGATATTCAGCCTGCAGTTCCGTACCAGAGCTATGGCCAGAAATACAGATATGAGTCAGCTCAGATGGCAGCTGAAGCACAGAAGCAGGAAAGGTTCAGCAAGCAACAGGACATTCTGAAATGGCTGAACCACACATCTCGATCTGGCACAAAAGATGGTCTGGCCAAGCTGCCCCACACTTCACTCCAAACAGGTGAGAAATAAGCCCTACATTTTGACTACCTGAATGTTGAACTTTCATAGATGCTCTCAGATGTATGGCTACAAAGATCAAGAGGTTGGAGCCATCAGAAAAGAAACCAGGGGCTGAGGATCAGATAAGGGACAAGGGAAGCAAATGGATAAAAAGTCTGTGGACTCAACAGCACCTTCATGATGGCATCTGCTCCAGGAGGCCACGGTGGTGATGTGAGCAAGGAGCAGGAGCTGCCACATGGGACAACTCCAGAACCCTTATGGCTCCCTCCCTGGCCCCAGCCCACAGCCCTTCACCAGCACAGGCTTGAGGGTCTCTAACAAATAGCATGGGGACAGCACAATAGGATAGGGGACAGCCGCCAGCTGCAGCACCAGCTCCCAGCGGCCACACTGGACAGTAATCCCCAGCTCAAGGCTATTCCAGATGAGCCACTGGGACCCAGCGTGGTGTTCTCTGGGTCAGCCAAAAGATCCCAGGCACTTCCCTTTTGATGTGATTTTCTGACGAACAGCTAACCGCAAAACTTGTGCTGGTCAGGAATGTACACAGGCTCGAGTGCCCGGCCACCAAACCCTCGTACGCCTGCCTACACAGGATCCTCCACCCCAGCAGTCCTGGCCAGGGCTGGCCTCTGGAAACAGGAGTTACCCCAGCCCTGGGAACGTCCCGAAGGCTCAAGCCAGTTGCTCTCTGTAGGGCCAACCCTCGCTCAGGGTCACGCATATCCTCCTCCCTGATAGCTTTCTGAACCCCATGACTGCTCAGCCTAGGACCTGGAGGGACCTAGAGCAGGCCTCATCTATGCAGCAAAATGTGCCTGACCTAGAAAACATGCCCCACCTGACTGCACAGTGGCAAAAGAGAGCTTCTTGGCGAAAACACGTGCAAGGCACGTGAAGTTCTCTCATCTTCAGAAAACCCCTCCCTCAGGATGAGGACGGAGCCCTCCTGCTCCCTGCATGTTGCCATCATCTGTCTCCCCAGTCCTGGTCTCCAGGATGACTGCCCAAGAGGATTCCAAATACTGCAAAAGAAGCTACTGGAAGCTCAGCTTACAGACCAAAGGCCACCAAGGGCTGTCCCCAGCCAGGGGAAGCAGTGAGAACACACTGGGCATCCTGGAAGATGGCAGAAGAGCTGCAAGAGGGAAAGTGTAGCAGGAGCCTGCAGGACTAACGCCGGACCAGGGACAGCCCAGGACACATGGTCAGAAGTGGGATGGCCAGCCTTCACTCTCCCAGGAAGCAAGGCCTCTAGCAGGCTGGCTGGCTGGACCCGGAGGCCGGCAACAGCCTGGCCACACAGCCTGGCTCGTTGCTCTCAGGTGGCTCTGCAAGGTGTACAAGGTGCTGCCCAGCCCTCAGACCATGGTTCCCAGAAAGGAGAGGGAGGCCTGGCCTGGGGGCCACAGCCCAACGCCGCGGACGGGGAAGCAGTACTCACTCACCCTCGCTGCTCCAATCACAGGACTGCTGGGCCAAAGGTAAGCGCCCAGCCACTCAGTGCCTGAATCAGGGTGAGAATTTACCAGTACCAGGGCTCAGAACATTCCATGCCTGCCACACACTTGCTCAAGAAGCCCAGATGTGAGGGCAAGCCCTCCCACCCCACACCCACAGACAACCCTGATCCACTCAGAAGTAACCCTCAACAGCATAAAGGGTGAAGAGGAGAGCAGAGAACAGCTGAGGCGCTAGACGATTCCGCCCCTTTACTTCGCCTTTTAGACATGACTCCCGCGCAGGCCGCGCTCCTCAGGGCCGCAGCTGCCTAGGAGAGAAGCTTCTGCAACGTGACAGTTTTTAGACGTGTGGCCCGACCGTCTGCCATTTGAGGATTACCACAAATGATTCTATTTGTAATTTCTAACCCTCTCACTGCCTCCCCCCCAAAAAAACTGTACATGAGTTTACAAACATATTAACATATAAATAATGAGGAGCATCCTGGCGGGAGCCTCCCCAGCTGTCTCTGCTTGAGATTAACACTTTGAGGAGAGCGCAACACCCACACGAAGACCCATGACCACGGGGCCTCCATGCGGCTATCCTGGGTGCTCAGCACTGGCTTCTTCAGCACCTCCAGGTTCAACCACCAGTCTGTGTTCTGTGTCCGCTGTGCCCAAGGAAGGTCCAAAAGCCACACACACGGGGCCTGCACTGCTGCCCCGCTGCCCGGTCATCGCTCTGGCTCGAGCTCATGCTGGAAGGGACGCTTCTTCTCCCGACAGTGCTTCTTGTGGGCAGGCCAGTCCTTCTGCTGGCACTGGGAGCCACAGTACCGGGCCACCTGGCAGCGCCCACAGATGTTGAACTCCCGGAGCTGAAAGAACACACAGAACAACCACCGGGTCAGGTCACGCCAGGACATCTCAGAACTGGGAAGGATCCAGCAACCCCACGCACAGAGGCTGGAGGGTCTGGGCCCTGGTCAGGCGACAACAAAGGAAGAGCCACCACAATGGAGAAGCTGCGAGAGAGGGAGCTCTCAGAGAGGGGTCTGCAGGGACGAGACCCCCGACCAGGGCTGGGAGGGCAGGGTGCGGAGCGGCCCGGCACCGGCGCTTGCCACAGGGCGTGTACCTGCTTCTCCATCATCGTGCAGGGAGGGTAATGGCACTCGTAGTAGGTGCAGGAGTTCTCCTCCTCCTCCACCACATCCCCATTGGCGTTATAGTACCGGGTCACGTTCAGGACGGGGAACTGCTCCTCTATGGGGTCCGTGGGAAGCTGCTGAATCGCGAGCCAATATAAGCTCTGCTCCCTTAGAGAGAGAAGAGGACACTCAGTACCCTCCAGCCAGACAGGGTCATGGCACAAGGTGACAATGGCAGGACTCCAGGACAGGCAGGCTGTTTCTTCTTCCTCAGGATACTCTCGCCCCAATGTTTGTTACAGCAACTTGACTTTTCTTTGGCCCGCCCCCACTGCATGGGCTCATCTCCATGTGACCTCAAGTATTTAGCATGTTCTGTCTTCCCACTAAGATACAGGGCAGTGCTGTGTCTCCCCAACACCTGGGACTGACAGGCACACACAGGCACAGAGAGTGTGCGGTCTCAGTCCCCAGACATGATGGAACCAGGCAGTCCTTCTCCCTGCTCGTGGCCCCAGAGGCACCTCTTCTGCCCCAACTGGTCACCTCCCCATCGATGCTGTGAGCTCCTCTACATCCTTCTAAACACTTATCTTGCTTGAGTGGACCAAGCACTTGCAACTGAAGAATCCAATCCGATGCTAGAACTGAGGTGCCCGTGACAGGGCCCACAACGGGCACAGGCCAGGTGCGGTGAGCACAGGGCAGCGAGCAGCCACCTTTGCAGCTGGGATTCAAAGGAGACACCACCTGCACTGCGAGAGCAAAGGGGCAGGTGAACCATCCCCTTCAACCCACGTACCCTCTACGGGGGCCAAGCCTGGAGGAACTTGGTTAAAAAAGAAAAGGGTCAGGGTCAGCCTGGTGGTGTAGTGGTTACGTGTGCGTGCTCCACTGCGGCGGCCAGGAGTTTGCCAGTTCGCATCCGGGTGCACACTGACGCACCGCTTGTCAAGCCATGCTGTGGCGGCGTCCCATATAAAGTAGAGGAAGATGGGCATGGATGTTAGCCCAGGGGCAGTCTTCCTCAGCAAAAACAGAGGATTGACATCGGATGTTAGCTCAGGGCTGATCTTCCTCACAAAAAAAAAAAAAAAAGAAAGAAAGAAAAGAAAAAGGTCACCCTCCTCTAGCACCATACACAAAAATTAACTCAAAATGGTCAAAGACCTAAACGTAAGACCTTAAACAATAAAACTCTTAGAAGAAAACAAAGGGCATAAGCTTTACAACACTGGATTTGGCGATGACTTCTTGGATATACGCCAGAGGCAACAAAAGCAAAAATAGACAAATTGGGTTTCATGAAAATTTAAAATTTTTGTCCATCAAAAGACACTATCCAGGGCCAGCCCCATGACGCAGCGGTTAAGTTCACACCTTCCGCTTCGGCGGCCCAGGGTTTGCCAGTTCCAGTCCTGGGCTGGGACCTACTCACCACTCATCAAGCCATGCTGAGGCAGCATCCCACATAGAGCAACTAGAAGGACCTACAACTAGGATATACAACTATGTACTGGGGGCTTTGGGGAGAAAAAAGAAAAAAAAGAGGAAGATTGGCAACAGATGTTAGCTCAGGGCCAATCTCCCTCAAAACAAAACAAAAGACACTATCCAGAGTAAAAAGGCAACCCAAAGAATGGGAGAAAATATTTGCAAATCACATATCTGATAAGAGATATGCAGAACATACAGAGATCTTCTACAACTCAACAACAAAACAAGAAACCCAATTACAAAACTGGCAAAGGACCTGAATAGACATTTCTCCAAAGAAATACACAAATGGCCAACAAGCACATGAAAAGATGCTCAACATCACTAATCATCAGAGAAATGCAAATCAAAACCACAATGAGATATCACTTTACACCCACTGGGATGGCTGCTGTCAAAAAACCAGAAAACAACAAGCACTGGTGAGGACGTGAGAAACTAGAACCCTGTGTACCGTTGGTTGGAATGTAAAACGGTACAGCTGCTGTGGAAAACAGGACGACAGTTCCTCAAAAAATTAAAAAAAGAATTTAGTGGGGCTGGCCTCGTGTGGCGTAGCGGTTAAGTGTGCGCACTCCGCTGCTGGCAGCCCAGGTTCAGATCCCAGGCGTGCACCAATGCACTGCTTGTTAGACCATGCTGTGGCGGCGTCCCACATAAAGTGGAGGAAAACGGGCATGGATGTTAGCTCAGGGCCAGTCTTCCTCAGCAAAAAGAGGAGGATTGGCACGAATGTTAGCTCAGGGCTGATCTTCCTCACAAAAAAAAAAAAAGAAGAATTTATATATGATCCAGCAATCCCACTCCTGGGTATATATCCAAAGAACTGAAAGCAGGGTGTTGAAGACCCTGTTCATAGGATGCCCACATTCACAGCAGCATTATTCACAACAGCCAAAACATGGAAACGACCCAAGTGTCCACTGATGGATGAATGGATAAACAAAACATGGTCTATCCATACACTGGAATATTATGCAGCCTTAGAAACGAAGGAACTCCTGACACATCCTGCAACATGGACAGACCTTGAGGACATCGTCCTAAGTGAAATAAGCCAGACACCAAAGGACAAACCCTGTAGGACTCCACTTACATGAGATCCCTAGAGGAATCAAACCTTGAGAGACAGGAAGTGGGATGGTGGTGTCGGGCTGGGGGAGGGGGTGGGGGTGAGTGTTTAATGGGGACAGAGCTTCAGTTTGGGAAGGTGAGAGAGTCCTGGAGACGGATGGTGGTGACAGCTGCACAACAACGTGAATATGCTGAATGCCACTGTTTTAAGTGCACTTAAAAACAGTTAAGAATGTAAATGTTATGTGTATTTTACCACAATAAAAAATTTTTTAAGGAGAAAAACAGGGAGAAGAGTCAGGATGTAGGAGGATCTGCCCACTTTCTGAGCCCTTCAATGAAGTCCTACAAGACAGAGGCAAGTTCCAGCCCCAGCCGACTTTCCAAGGCAGAAAGGTAGGAAAAGGTACCTTTGCAAAGAGGCCCTTCCACCTGTGACTGAGCTGCCCTCGTGGCCCCACACCGAAGCGATGCCAGGAAAACAGGGTGGAAGGTGCAGGCCTGGAAGAAGCCGTGTGCTGTATCCCCTGCCTCACAGACAGGGGGATCCCCACCATAAGAACCAGCTGTGTGGGGGCCACTAGCTGAAAAATGGAAGCACACGTAATGCCCAGGCCAGCCAGGGGTTCACACCACACTCAGGCTGGCTCTGACCCATGACAAGTGGAGTGAACACTGCTGAGGGTCTAAGCCCCAGCTGGGAAACCAAGGACGGCCCCAGCTGATGGACTCCTCAGATAACCCACAGGAGGGAGCTTCATGAGTACAGCCTCAGGATGGGCTGGTCCCAGGCCTCCCGGGAGTGGCCTGGAGGAGAATGGGCAGCCAGGCCACAGCCCACCAGAGACCACCAGACGGAGCAGACCCAGAGTGTAACACCCTCTTCTAAACAGGTACTTTTTTTTTTTCACCTTTTTCCATTTTTTAATTAATCAAATGATACAAAACAACTATCATTCTGTAAAGGCCCAAGCCCCCAGCTGGTCCTCTCATTCCCAAAGTCACACCCTCCTCAGCCTCTCCCCTACCCTGCTCTCTCTTCCCCTGCCCTAGCCCAGGGATACAGTCCTGGCAGGAGGCTGGGCCAGAGCTGGGGGCAGGAAGGGACAGCACTGGACAGACAGCTACAGTTTGGGTTGAGGAAGAGATTAGGAGGGGTGGGTTCTTAGAGACCCTTTAGTACCAAATATCCAGCCCTAGTCCCTCCAAACAGGTGTTCTTAATAAGGTTCTCTTATCTCACGACCATAAAGGGTGTCAGATGAGGAGAGATGACACTCAACCCCATGCGTCACATGGAGACCTGCCTGAAATGACAGATTTCATAGCCCAGAGATCCTGAAAGGAGCGGATCCATCACTGGGTGAAGGAGTGGGCAGTAGGAGACCCACATGGAGTCAGGGAGGGCAGGTCCCGGCCTCTACACTGAAGGACCCTGCGTGGAGTCAGGGAGGGCAGGTCCTGGCATCTACACTGAAGGACCTGTGTGGAGTCAGGGAGGGCAGGTCCCAGTGTCTACATGTTGGACCACCCAGGGGGAGTGTGTGGACACTGGTTTGCCTGCTCAGCTGTCCTTACCCTTCCGTTGATAACACAACCTTTGTTTCGTTTGATGACAGAGCCCTCCCATCCCCAACTTCGGGGTAGAAAAGTGATTCAAAGCAAGCTACCTAGAGTTGATCCTAGAACTTCCTCGATGCCACCAGAACACTCCACCATGGAAAGCGAGTCTGCAGCTCTGGTGGCTGCTCCAGAGGAAAGAACTGGCGGCACGGCCTTTGTGGCTTTCATCTCAGGTTGGGGAATCCATAAGGGCCCTAGTTTTGCTTCAGCCAAATTGGGGACAGTTTCTGTCATTTGCAACCAAAAGTCCAGACTAACATAATCCCTTGGAGGATAAGAATCCTACCCAACTATCATAAAAGGGTCAGCTTCCCTCAAGAGCAGCATGAGGGAATTGTAGGATCAAACTCTAACATCAAAGCAGAGAACCCAGAGAGGTGAAGACCCCAACCCCTGCTCCTCTCGCCCTGCCAAAGCCAGGCAGGAAGCGATGGGTGTGCGGAGCGCAGGATCTCTCTCCAGAGCTCCAGCAGCATCCGTCGGTCTGGGTATGGCTTCTCAATAGTCCGGGGACTGTCCCCTCACCACCTAGCACGGTTGGCCGAGGAATCCCACTGTTACCACCTGCACCGCATGGGTCCCCTGACCCTCTCCAAGGGCTCCATGAAACTCACAGCTGGGCTGCTCCTGGGGCCACAGGAACTGCCCTCAAGCACCATATCTGCCCACGGGGGATGCCTGTGCCATCCTGAGCAGAAGCACTGTCTCTAGGACTGTGGAGAGGAGGAGGCCAACCCCCGAGCCACACTGTCATGCTTTCTTTAAACCACTGCTTAGGCAAACAGTTCAGCAAAAAAACAAAAAGACCCATCTGAGTGCACAAGGGGCACCCCTAAGATAGAGGCCTGATGCTTCCCAGGGCGTGGAGCAGAAGTCCTGCCCACACAGCCATTCTCCTTGTTACAGCCAGCCATCAGAAAACCAACCCCCAGGGGTCGGCCCCGTGGCGTAGCAGTTAAGTGTGTGCACTCCGCTGCTGGCGGCCCAGGTTCAGATCCTGGGCACGCACCAACGCACCACTTGTCAGGCCATGCTATGGCAGCATCCCATATAAAGTAGAGGAAGATGGGCACGGATGTTAGCTCAGGGCCAGTCTTCCTCAGCAAAGAGAGGAGGATTGGCATGGATGTTAGCTCAGGGCTGATCTTCCCCACAAAAAAAAAAAAAAAGAAAGAAAGAAAGAAAACCAACTCCCAAAGATAATTGTCAAAGTCTTATCCCACCCCCATGAAGAACAGGAGGACCCCACACTTTCAGGGAAAATAACCAAGGTCCCCAACCCATAGAAGCATTAGAGCACAGAGACATGGCTCCTCTGGGCAATGAGAGCTGCTGGCAGCACCGGCCCGAGAAGACCCACCTTTGTTTGCTGGAGGTCTCCTCGGCTTTGGGCCGCCAGCCCCACGGCACCAGCTGCAGGTTGTCCAGGCGGTTGTCCACGGTCACAGTGTTGAGATGTACCACCTGGAACCCAGGGGCGATGCCCCCCCTGTGCCGCTCCCTAGGAAACAGACAGCTCTCTAGATCGGCCTCCTCCAACCTTCCCAGACATTTCCGCCACACGATCTGAACCAGCCCCTAGTCACACTGACCAGGATACATCAGGAGCAAGGCTGCCGACAGGAATCCAAGTACATCAGTCTGTACCCCGAACAGAACAGACCACGCTGACTGCTCAGCCCTGGATTTAAGAGCTAGGCTGCAGGGAGCCAAGGACGCAACCTCACAGCTTCAAACACACAGCGTGGAGATCACCCATGTGAGTGGCCCCAAGCATTTCTGAACTCCACTGTGCACCCTGAGGACAAGCAGCCCCTTCCCCACATCCTACCGACAGGCTCAGCAAAAGCCCGGCGAAGGAACCAGACCCTGCTCTCCCCTGGAGGAGGCTGTGTCCAGAGTGAGCACCAGAGCAGAAAGCCCACTGGTGTCTGAAGACTTAGTGCCATGATATATGAATCAGTCATTCCTCTGCGTTAGTGGCAATGACGCAAAACTAACTGGGAGTCTTGGGGAGGGCACCACCTGTCCAGGGCAGGTGGCTCCACTGGCTCCACACACCCTGGGGGCACCAGGGCTCACGCAGGACCCGAGGTGGAAAACAAACAGCTCGAAAATACCCACCACAGCAGCTCATGAAGGAGCCTTCCGGACCCTCTTCCTCGGTTTTTGTCAAAGGCATATGCAAATATCTTAGCACCATTTCCATCTGCGTCTACTTCCATCCGGGCCTGAGAACAAGAAAAAGTTCTGTTAAAGAATCTCTGATTCTCGGAAACATTTCAAATCCCTCTTAGAAAAATCAAGTGAAACAAACAAGCCAGAAGAATAAATGCCAGTCTGGTTCCTGGGAAGTTAGGGGTCTGAGGAGGCTCCCACAGACACATGGCACTGAGAAGCCACTGTATCCCAACAAGCAACCACCTGCATTCAAGTAAGACACGCGCACGAACCACTCTGCAAACTGCTGTGGACAGAGAAATAAACTTTCCTCCCCTGAAGAAAAGCCCACAATCCACTGAGAGAGAAACCCCTGAGCAAGTAACTACCATGAGGGGGGCTGAGGTAAGAGAGTGGTGGCCCCAGACTCCTGGAGGCTGGAAGAGGAGGAACGGGTGGTCGTCAGCAGACAAGAGTGGAAGGCAGGGAGGCTCAGGAAGACAGAGGGTGGCGAGCATGTGGGGCCAAGGCTACAGGAGACGTGGGGTGGCACTGGACAGGTTCCAGGGAACTGGGCTTGTCCTACTGAACAATCAGCCACAAACATGACACAATGTGGTCTGTTTTCTAGGAGAAGCCAGCAACTAGGTGGAGGTAGGGGAGGGCCAGTGTTGCACAGGCTTCACAGGCCAGCTCACATGCACAGTCTTGCCCTCACATTACAGGGAAGAAAACCCATCATCCCTTGTTACCCTCCCCAGACACGGGCTGGAAGCAAGCCAGCAAAGGGACAGCCATCCTTACCTCAAAGGAGTAGCCCTCCACCAGCGGGATGTCTTGCTCATCAATCAGGGTGTACTTGGTCTGGAAATTAACGTTTCAAAACGTTACGATTGGGGTCAGTGTAAGGTACTAGTAACAGGCAGGAATGGCCCCTTCAGACTGAGAGGGGTCAGCAGGCAAGGGGCATGGGGCAGTCTACCCCAAAGAGCAGGTCAGCGTGCCAAAGGCTGGTCAGTCCCCACTCAAGAGCATACCAGAGGAGCCGGTACCAGGCTTCACTTCCCATCTGCACAAGACTAACCACAAAAAATGGACCTGAACTGGGCAACCTCTAAGCCGTACATGTTAATGCACCCATGAACCCAGTCCACCACCGGGGCTTCGCTGCTGTAGAGGGAGGGGCCAGGACAGAGGCAGGACATCCAGAGGATTTCAATTAGTGTTTATTTAGTAAGCTAGGTGGTTGGCACGCAGGTGCACACTACATTGTCCTTTTTCGCTTTTTGTTTGTCTGAAACATTTCAAACAAAAGTTTTAAGGGATGACATTAATGCAACCAGTCACTGACTTAAAAGGGGTCTCAGGGCTGAGAGAAGCCCACCCCGCCTAGTTAGAAAGCAACATCCCGGGGCCGGCCTGGTGGTGCAGCAGTTAAGTGAGCGCACTCCGCTTCCGCAGCCTGGGGTGCACAGGTTCGGACCCTGGGCGCACACAGACGCACCACTTGTCAGGCCATGCTGTGGCAGGCGTCCCATATAAAGTAGAGGAAGATGGGCACGGATGTTAGCTCAGGGCCAGTCTTCCTCAGCAAAAAAAAAAAAAAAAAAAAAAAGCATTGGCACGGATGTTAGCTCAGGGCTGATCTTCCTCACAAAAAAAAAAAAGAAAGCAATATCCCTCTGCAGGAAGGGCAGGAAACGTCCCCAAACCGACCAGTCTCACTCTTGCTGGGAAAGCTTTTTTCTAGGATCTGAATCGGTTTTACCTTCATCTGACTGCCTCTGCTCCTCTTTCCCACCAGAAGCTTCCGCCGCTGGTGATGGGAACAGGGTTCCCATCCAGGGTGAAGTCTGTGGCTGGTGCAGCTGCACGACCGGCCGGCTCCTGGAAACAGCCAAGCCTGGATGCCCACAGGTGCCAGGAAGCCCCAGCCTCGAACACACGGAGGGCGGGGCCAGGTAAGGGAGAGAAGCAGAGGGAGACCCTGCTCTGGCAAGGCCCACTGAGGCTCAGCCAGACGCGGCCACCGCTGGCAGCGTGAGACCTGCGCGAAGCTCCACTACTGACCGAGAGGCACGGAGCGGCGCGCACACACCCGTCTTGGCAAGCAGCGAGCGCGCCGCTTCGGAAGGGCGCAGCACTGCCCGCGGCCGCAGGTGCAGCCCGACAGCTCTCTCCTCCCCCCGCCACGGTGCACGGTCTGAGCCCCAGCCCGCGGCCCGAGGAGAGCTGCCCCGCAGGGACACGCCGCCGGCCCGCCGTCCGTACAACCGCCCGGCCCCACGCTCCCGGCTCC